CTGCAGGTCCCTCTTGTTCCTCTCACTTTCTAGTAGTTATGATCACCTGAGGAGCAGGTATTGCAATGTTCCTAGTCTTATACAGTAAGGAGGGTATGAGGCACTGCATATAATGCAGTACAGAAGGAAAAGAATGGCATCTGGAGTTGGTGTCATGTGGGGACATATATGGTACACTGACTGTAAGTGAATGATACAAGTAAATTTAAAACCAGAAACTTTTTTAGGCACTTGTATTTAAGACACACATGGAATGAAACATATGCTAGGACACAAGATTAACTGAATATGAAAATTTACAATAAAACTGCTGTGGAAGCTGACTATAAAACATTCTCTTCTCCCTCCTCTCAGCCTTCTGTTTCCCAAGCGCATGCTTTTGACATGCAACCTTCATTTTCTCCCTTTCCTTCCCTTCCCTTCCCTTCCCTTCCCTTTCTAGAAACACCAGATTCTCTTCCTCTAAGCCACAAGAGCTAATTATTTCTAGTTTCCTTCTAGTAGTCGATGTTTTCCTGCAAGTTTCCTGAACGGAACACAGCTTGTAGAGAGTTCAAAATGGAAAGACTTTCCTCAGTATATTGTCATTTCTGTGCAAAGGGGGGCTGTGGGGACAGGAGGAGAGTAATGTGTAAGAGCCGGCTGGTTAGTTATCTGGCTGTAGTGTGCAGCCTGTCTGATGATAGATCCTTGATATCTATATTTTTCATTACTCAGCTACTAACTTTGCTTTTACAATGATGCCTAAGCATGGAGTCCGTTTTAAAGAAATACATTTGTTTTTTCAGATGCTCATATTTCTGTTAGAGAACTAATTGATTCCACTTGACATCTTCATAAAGCTTAAGATTTAATGAATTTAAGACATGCTGAAGACACATTTTGTAACTTCCCTTAAAACTTCATGCGTGGTTGGTGCAGTGCATCCTAGTGGATATCAGTGATTCCTGTTCATGGATGACTCAACCCAGACCTTCCCTCCAAAAGCTGGGTCTTCCTTGCCCCACTTGAATTCATTCTCTTCTAGAAGTCTCCATTCAGTCCAAGGTGGACTGACTTACTAATAGTCTTTGATGGGCCTTCCCACTGTCAGCCTGCCACCTCCATCCCATGCTCTATATCACAGCCAGGCAGCTTTTCTCTATGTGTACTGGTATTTCATTCCTTGTTGGGACATGCCATTTATCCTCAGCCTCTAAACAAGGAAGACTCCAAAGACTCAACAAAGTCCCTCTCCCAAATGCTTCACTGACACCAGCCAGGAGTAAGTCTGTCTCTACTCTCACTGCCTCTACTCTCCTACTTTTTCTCCTCTTTAAGAGCTGGAAGGCTCTGCAGAACACCTGGTGCTGGGGTTGCACCTGTTTGGGCCATATTTATGTTCCTTTCATCTTTTATGGTAGAGGCACCTGCTCTTGGTTCTGCTCTGTATTATGTCTGATTTCCTGTCAGGCTGTTTTTTTGTAGATGAGGAATGATGGCATCCATGTTTTTAGCAGCAGGCCCCTCCAATCCAGTTTGAAATAGGGCATAATAAATACTCAACATATGAACTGGATGTAATGATTGGAGCAAGCATATGAATAAAATAGATGTTGGTTATTTAGACAGGTCAACACGAAAGGTTAAAAATATTTATCTTTATAGTCTTCTATCGATATACATGGAGAGCGAAGTGGGATTTTTGCTTTTTCCATTTGCAAGTGAGTTTTTCCATGAATTAGTTTAAAAAAAAGAAGATGCATTCTAATTGCTTTAGAATTTTCCATTAACAAAAAATGACTCGTCACTTTAGTAGTCTCTAGCCAATAAGAATTTGAATAACACACATTTTGATTTTTTATAAGCTATTTTTTAAATTTTTTAAAATTTATTTTATGTGTATGAGTGTATTGCCTGCCTGTATATGAGTGCACCTGTGTTGTGCAATGCCGTAGACGTCAGAAGAGAGCTTCAGATTCCCCTGGAACTGGAGTTAAGGACAGTTCGTAGCCGCCATGTGGGTGCTGAGAATCGAACCCGGGTCCTCTGCAAGAGCAGTTGGTGCTCTTAACTGCTGAGCCATCTCTCCAGCCCCACATTTTGATTTTTAAAATCTAAAAATTAATAAAAATGTTACTCTAGAATGTGAGTTATCATCATTTGTGATATACTGTAGTTTAATTTCTCATGTCCTGATAATATTCTGGATTGGATTTTACCCTGGCACTAAATATCAACCAAGGGGTAAGAAAATGAGCCAGCAACTGAGCCTCCTCCTCCCAAACCACTAAAAGGCTACACTGATATATTTTCTTTAAGACTACTATCCTCTGCATCCTATATGAGTTTGACAAAGTGAAACCCTTTTGGTCACATGGTAGCTATGTAATAAGCATTTAAATGATTCTTTAAAAATATTGAAGATTGAGAACAAAGCAAAGCATTTAAACCAGAATCAGGGTGAGTTTGTGAAATCCGGCTGCCTTCAGGTTGCCTTAAATCCTGAACTTGCCCCATACCTCAGCCACCCTCAATCCATTGAGATCTACTAGGAGATCTCCTGTTCTCTTATTTGCTTTTTGTAAATCCGCTTTTTAATTTTTCTATTAGTTCTTGAATGTATTCCAGGAGAACTAGAAGGATGCATTTGCCTAACCAGAATTGACTTGAAGAAAAATTAGTAGAAATTACTTTGACACTTGGAACTGGTAGCCTGAGAATCAGAATTTGGAGTTTGCTGGTTAAATATCCCCTGGGCCATTTCTTCCTAAAGCCACTGTCCAAGTTGACAGCTATCCACTTGCTGGAGGGATGGTACTATGGCTTTTTTGATGGATAGGAGAAAATCTGCAAATACTACAGAGAACAGAATAGCTGATGATAGAGTAGCCAAGTTAGCTGTTTCTTCAGTGTAAAAACAGTGCAGTGTATAACTAATATCTTGACCATAATAAACAGACTGGAAAATACTGACGCATAGAATAATGAAGGCTAAAGTTGTAGCTAAATTTTAAAAGCATATGAATAACAAACATGAGCAACACGAAAAACATAAAAAAGTGTTTGGATTTCAAGGTTAATTGTGCTTAAGAACAATCCCATTTGGACTTGTTTTGTCCATCAGAGGAGAAGGGATATCCCTATGATGGACACTGAGCTGTCTTCTCTAGGACAGTCTGGTATCTAACGTTGATTCATTTTCCCATTTGGAAAAATGTCACCATAAGCATTCCCCATGAGTTGGAAATTCTACAGAACTTCCAATGTATCCAAAATAAATTATTTTTTCACAAAACGAAATTTTTCCTTTAAATGCCAGAACTCTTTTCATCTCTTTTATCTGAAATTCTAAAACATATTATGCCCTGTCCTTCACAGACCTTTAAAACTGTCTTGTCAAGGTCTTCATCAATTGAGTTTTATAGGAAATACAAGGGAAAAAGAGAGAGATTGCACATGCTTTGGGTGTTGTCCCTGGTTCTCAAAGCATGGGAACGAGGTAACCCCAAAGCAAAGAGGGCACCCCAGAGAAGTACCATCTTGGGAGTTCTCAGGGGTAAGGGCTCTTCACTGGCTCTGACTGGGAACTGGGGAAGAGGAAAGATGAGCAGTGTTTCAGTTCTCTGAGATTATTTCAGTGAAATAGGAGCCCTTTATCACTAACCATCACTAGGTAGGACTGAAGTAAATATTTCTATTTGCACCTATTTAGGTCCAGAAACAGATTAGTGTTTAGTATATATACCATACCACTTAGCATGCACAAAGCCCTGGGTACTGTATCTATCACTGAATCAATCAAGCAAACAAGCAAAGAAAGGAACAAATATATCAAGAATAAATGAAAAAGAAATAGAAATCCTCAGTAGAACTTTAGCAAATATGAAAACCTTGACAAGTTTTTCATCTTTCTAAATGGAAATCTGTTCCCATTAAACAATGACTCCGTTTCTCCCCTCATGACCCTTGTAACTGCTGTACTTTTTGTCTCTGTGAAGCTAACTCTTGCAGGTACCTCACATGACTGGAATCATGAATATTTGCCCCTTCGTGTCTGGCTTGTTTCACTTTGTGCTGAGCAAAGTTCACCTAGGTTGTAGCATGAATCAGGACGGCATTACTTTTGAAGGTATATGAATAGTACATTTTGTTGATCCATCCATCTGTTGATTGACATAGGATTGCTTTCACCTTGACTATTGTGAATAATGTTGCTATTAACATGGGTGTTAACTGAGAATCAGAATTTGAAATTTGCTACTCATATTTTCAATTCTTTTTGATATACACCTAGAAAAGAAACTGTAGGAACATACTATGCTCTATTTTAATTTTTTGTGGACCATATTCAAGGGATTTAAAAATACTATTCTATTGGGGCTGGAGAGATGGCTCAGTGGTTAAGAACACTGATTGTTCTTGCAGAAGACCCAGGCTTAAATCCCAGCACCCACATGGCAGCCAGCAGCTGTCCATAACTCCAGTTCCAGGAATCCAACAGCTTCTTCTGTCTTCTGCCGGCATTGCACGACACAGGTACACTTACCTACATGCAGGCAATACACACATACTTATAAAATAATAAATGAAATATTTAAAAAATACTAATCTATTAAACAAAAGGATTATTTATTGATTACTTCTTGTGTGTCATGTAGGATACATAGGGATCAGAGAAATAGAAACACAGTTTTTCCCCCACCCCCAAATGTAAAGGTTTTGGACAAAGGGCATAGCCAACAGTCATGTAGGTAAGTAGTACTTATGTGCAGTGTTCAGTTCTGTAATAAGCTGTGTGCAGACTACCATAGTAATAAGGGCTTCTGGTGTTTCTGAAGATACAGTCTCCTTGAAGTTTGTCTATGATGAATATTCTACCAAATTCTGGTTAATACTGGATCATACAGGGGAGACAAGACATTCCTCTGTCCAAGTCTTTGTTGTATATGAGGTTTATTTAACTCAATGAATACATTGTTTTCTGTGACCTAAATGTCCCTCTTTATTTTTTCCTGTAGTGGTTTCTAATTGCCAACAAATCTTATAAAGTCAATGCGGCCAGCTCCTTTTTCTTCAGTGGTGTATTTGTGGGAGTTATCACTTTTGGTCAGCTTTCAGATCGCTTCGGAAGGAAAAAAGTCTATCTCACAGGTAATCTGTTAGAGGGTTCAGACACTGAAAAGAGGATTTATTTCCTTAAGACTGTTAAGGAAATAATAAGGGAGTTATTTCCTTAAAGTTCTCAAAGAGTTAGCAGGTGGACAGAGAACTTCTTTATTATACTGGCAAGTGGCCATGCTGCAGCTAGTGATGATTCTGGCCAAGTGGTTTTCAGTAACTAGCCCACATGGTTAAGGGCAGATATTTGTAGGTGTGTGCGCGCGCGCGCGCGCGTGTGTGTGTGTGTGTGTGTGTGTGTGTGTGTGTGTGTGTGTGCGTGCCTGTATATGGTGAT